AAGAACTTGCAAGGAAAAAAAAAAAAAAAAAACACATCAATTTGGGTGAAAAAAACTCAAGCCCCTTGAAAGACATATTTTGCTTTTTTTTTTTTTTTTAACATGTATCCTTAAACAATAGTTCTAGCTGTCTCAACTTGACTAACACAGTTTCCACACTAGGACCTTGAATTCCATTCCCAGCTCTGCTGTCTACTATGGGCCATAAGGAAGAAAGAAGCATCAGAGAAAAGAAAATAAAGCTATGTCTTACTCAGGACTCTCTGCTTTCTGTGGACAATGGGTAGACTACAAGATCAGTGCATACTCCCTGGGATTTGTTTGTAAATTGTGTACGTGTAATGTCTGGGCAATGAGAGCCCATCACTTTCATCAGTTTCTCAAAGGGAATTCCAAAGAAATTTAAGATCTAACTCTAGAGAAACAGCTGTGCTCCTGAAAAACTGTAACCAAACTTACTATGTTCAAATAGTTTTTACACGACCATCATGTATAAAAAAGAACCCCTTTCCTACAATAAACTGTGAGTCAGAAACAAGACTGACCTGTGCAATGCCCCATAGCTAGTCAACGGACCAGACAGGACTCAACCCTAGACCATTTGGCTTTTTCCCCCTGCACCATGCCTGTCACTGTCCATACAGTTTTATTCTCTTAAGTCATGCTGTTCATGGTGTTAAGCAGGAGCACAGGCTTTAAACACCATTAGCCAAGGCTTTCAGTTGCTCTGATCACTATCAATCACAATGTTTACTCTAATACAATAAAAGGAAGAGATAAAGGGGTAAAGAAAATTCTCCCCATTGACTTATTCAACAACTTTCAAAAATAAATTTATGCTGCACTGCCAGCTTCAAAGCTACCTCCTACTACCCGTGCTTCTAGGAAGGGTTCTCAAATTCTGGATGTCCAGAAACTTAACTACTCGGGTTACACAGCTGTATTAGCATGCAAGAAGGCAAGAAAAGACACGGCAAGTGTCATCCTTCTCTACTCAGAAAACAACGGCGGGATCACGGCCATAGGCCAAGATTTTCAGAAAGAGATCGCTTTGAAAACGACGGATATCAGGCAGCAACAGCAATGGCAATCCTGGCAGAAGGGCTAGGGGCATGAATAGTACCAGAGAGTGGGAGTAGGGGGCGGGGAAGCCCGCGCAGTGAAGAGTCCTAAGAGAAATCTGGTGTAGCCAGGAGTGAATGACTACCAACTGAGGAGCCAGCCTTTTCCTTCATATCCATCCCTCTCTCTTACCTCCTTCGCCCCACAACTGAAGCAATGCGGCAGGAGAGGAGGAGGACAGGAATGATAAAGGGCACAGATTTGGGTGGAAACTCGGGTTTAAGATCTGTTTCCACCACGAAACAGCTGTCTGAGTCGGGCAAGTCACAACACTGTGCCTCAGTTTCCCCATCAGTAAAATGGGGGTAACCACACTCCTGACTACACAGGAACGCTGCCAGGATTAAACGAGACAACGACTGCGAAACCCTCTGCACAGGGCCAAACTCAGAGGAACCGCTCCGTGAAGCTAAGGCAAGTTCGCAGAAGGGTCCTGGGGTTTGGGGTCCAGCCCGGAGAGGGCGCTCCCGGGGCCCGCTCCCCGCCAGCCGGGTTCCGAGCCCCTGCCCGGCCCACCTTGTTGTTGTACTCCTCCACGAAGCTGCCCAGCGCCAGGCGAAAGCGCTTGTCGGGCCGCACGCTCCAATTCATGGCGTAGACGGTCCAGGGCGCTTCATACTTGTAGATCTCCTTCCGTTTGCCGTGCAGGGACATGGTGGCGGCGGCGGGGCCGCAGTGCGGGCCGGGACGGCAGCGGGCTGCGGCGGGCGGGGCACGAGTCCGGCAGAGAGCAGGGCCGGAGACGGAGAGGGTCCGAAGGGAGGCGGGGCGGGGGCGGGCAGAGACGGCCTAGCCCGGAAGCGGGGCAGCGACAACAAACAACGACGGCCGGGCCCGACCCCCAGTTTAAAACCCGCTTCGGCTCGGACAACCACCACCTTCCGTTTGAGACGCCGCCCCGCCCTCTCGGAACGGAAGCCACGCGACCCACGCAGCGGCGCCGGCCGTTGGCTGCCTGACACGTCCTTTCGAACAGTTCCTTCTTCTCATTGGCTATTGCACCGTAACTTCTGAAACCTCTTCACTATTGGCGTAAATGTCTGTCATTTCAATTACTTGCCCTGCCCAATTCCAAGGGGGGCGGCGCTTTCGCAGCCCCGAAGGTCATTGGCTGACAAAGATGTCAGTCAGAGAGATAACAGCGCAGTGCGCGTGAATGGGGTGAGGGCGTGGGAGGCATAGGAGGCTAGCGTGCAGAGCGGCAGGCCTTCAAGTTCTAGGCCAAGTCTCCGAGAGCGAGAGCTCTTGTGTAACATGCTTTCACTCCCCTTGTGCAGGTGCTATTCCGAGTGGCTATGCCACTCTGTCGAGTAGAAATTAAAATTCTGCCTTTCCTGAGGGCCTGCTGCATTTCGCGTCACTGAGCCCCGCGGCCTGGCAGCCTGGCCCGCGCTAGACGGGAACCACCTTAATTCCCCACTCGTGCCAACGCCCCGTTTAAGCCGGAGAGTTGTTCTCCCAGTGCCCCAAGGGCAGGCCCGCCGGTGTACTCAGGGCCAGGCCAGCCTCAGTCGGGCCGTCCCGTGCTTTCCTGGCCATTCTAGAAACACGCAGAGTTGCAGGGTTGGAATTCAGTAGGCAGCGACCCGACCAACTTGGCTCTAAGTTTTTGTGGTTGCCCTCCCGTCCCTTCACCGCTGAGGGTCCTAAGGCAAATGCTTGAATCAAGCCCTAAGTATACCTGTGCCAGTGAGTTTGAAATGGAGGAGGGTCCCATCTAGGTAACATCTCCATAATTTAAATGGTTTCCAATTCTTTGCTTTCAGTAAAATTAAAGGATTGTATTGAATTGTTAGATGATATCATTAAATATAGTTTTCAATGATAAATGTGATTGTTAACAGACAACTCAGAAAGAATTCAAATTGAGTGACACTGCCATATATAACAAATCCCTTAGATTCCCATCTACTTACTTATGTGAACAAGTTTTCTTTGTGCTTAAGTTTTTAAAAAAGAAAAAAAAAATAGGTACAAAAATGTTGTTGAGGGGCCTGCCCGGTGGCTTAGTGGTTAACCGCTACCGGCAGCCGGGTTCCGGCGCGCAGCACCGCACCGCTTCTCTGGCCACACTGAGGCCGCATCCCACATACAGCAACTAGAAGGATGTGCAGCTATGACATACAACCATCTACTGGGGCTTTGGGGGAAAAAAAGGAGGAGGATTGGCAATGGATGTTAGCTCAGAGCTGGTCTTCCTCAGCAAAAAGAGGAGGATTAGCATGGATGTTAGCTCAGGGCTGATTTTCCTAACAACAACAAAAAAATGTTGTTGAACTTTGAATATTATTATTCTAATAAAAAAATGATATTCATCCACACACATGAACTAATTGAGAGGAAAATACCCTTTTTTAAGAAATGCATTTCCAATAAAATTTGTTTTTATAAGAATTTGAATACATATTTATGTTGTTTTGAACAACTCTGTACTAAGTGTAACCCGTAAAGCTTTAGAAAGGTTACAAAAAATTGATTTTAAAATTTCAACATATATATATATTTGTGTTGCAAAGAGATAAGTTTATCAATAATAGACTTTAAAGCATGGAAATAAATTACATGTAGCATAAACTGTGGGAGGAATAGAATGGAATTATGAGAAGAAAAAAAGGAATAATGTTAAAGAAGAGCTTGTTCTGATGTTTTTAAAATGAATGATGTTGGCTCTCAAATCACTATGCTATTTGTTTTTTTTTTTTTTTTTAATTTTTTGTTTATTGCAGTAACATTGGTTTATAACATTGTAAAAATTTCAGGTGTACATCATTGTACTTCTATTTCTGCATAGATTACATCATGTTCACCACCAAAATACTAATTACAACCCATCACCACACACATGTACCCAATTATCCCTTTCACCCTCCTCCCTCCCCCCTTCCCCTCTGGTAACCACCAATCCAATCTCTGTCCCTATGTGTTTGTTCACTATGCTATTTGGATCGAAATGGATCAATATAAATGGTATCGTTTATAAAGTGTCAATATTTACAACACACTGGAAATTACATCCTTTGCAACTCTTTAAACTTATCAATGAAATACTTCAGATGTCAACTTAAAAATGTATGAGGGGAGAAATACATTTTCAAAATTTTTTAGGGAGTACTGGAACAAAAAGGACTGAAGACCAGTGACCAGGTACTTTTTGGACGATAGCCCATTTCAATGGAGTAGTTAACTGTATATGTTCTCAAGCTGGACCATCTGGGTTGAAATTACATCCTCTTTTTCCTATAATTTTGGGCAAGATTCTTTTTTTTTTTTTTTTTTGGTGAGGAAGATTGGCCCTGAGCTAACATCTGTTGCCAATCTGCCTCTTTTTGCTTGAGGAAGATTGTCCCTGAGCTAACATCTATGCCAATCTTCCTCTATTTTTTTGTATGTAGGGACACCACCACAGCATGGCTTGACGAGTGGTGTGTAGGTCTGCACCCAGGATCCAAACCAGCAAACCCCGGGGCCACCGAAACGGACAGCATGAACTTAACCGCTTCGTCACCAAGCCAGCCCCTGTTTTTTTTTTTAAATTGAAGTGTAATTTACACATAGAAGTGCACGTATTTTCACAACCTGAAACATACTCATGTAACCAGCACCTAGATCAGGGAACAGAACAGTACAGCACCGCAGAAGTCCCCCTCATATGGTTAGGTAACTTTCTTAGTCTTTCTCTGCTTCTGATCCCACATCTCTAAAATGGGGATAATAATATCAACCCCACAGGGTTGTTGTGCAGATTAGGTGAACTAATATCTGCAGTGCAGTCAGCATGGTACCCAGCACTCGGTTAGTGTTATGGAAGTGTTTGCTGTTGTCATGATTCCTGATGGCCACCAAGCCAGCACCTCTCTGCTTCCCTTCACCCCAGCCTGGCTAAGAGCCCCATGATCCAGGGGCTCCTGGGCCTGATGGAGCCACCTTCAGGTCCCCAGCACACAGCTCCTTTGAGAGGGGCTTGGACAAGACAACAGATGTTGGGGTCATGGCACAGTCAAGAACCTGATGACCCTCAGGTAAGTTACACACCCAACTCAACATGAAATGTGCAGACTTTATTAGCTGTGAGGTACTCCACTGCCTGCTAGGGTCCCAAAGGTCCTTACAGAACCGTCAGGGGCAGAGCGGCCAAGGGCTGGAGCTCTGTGCCCTGATGTGTTCGCTACAGAGGACACTTTCATCTCCAGCTGGGTCACAGGCTCTAGGCAGGAGGTCTGACCAATCATGGGTGCTGGGCTGTGAGGTGGTGGATAGTTCTGAGCCAGGAGGTGATCACACCCAGCCCAGAGCAAGGCTCTCATACAAAAGATCGGAAACTTTTTCTCTTTTCCTCATTGACCCCTCTGTTCTGTAAGCTACCTCCATGCCCGAAGCTCACCCACCCTCCACCAGGCCCACTGTCTAAACAGCGCCCTGAAGGAGGCTGGGAAGAGTGCTGAGCCTCTCCACCCCCGCTGTCTTGGGTCATCTGGGTTAGCACTTTATAGCTACTCTAGGAGAATGGTTGTCAGAGGCCCATTTTGGAGGCTATCTGCCTTCCCCAAATCCTTAACTTTCACCTCATCCACCTTCAGTGCCCTCATGGTGTCTTTTATCTTGGGGTTCAGTGGCTCTAACTCCCTGCAAATCCAGGATCTGAGCCATGTCTCTGGAACTCCAGCTGCTTGGGAACAGAGCTGAGATGTTCAGGGAAGGAGGGGAAGCGGGGACCACAGACAAGTCCCTGTACCTCCAGGGGATGCAGAGGAGATGCCAGGGGTGGTAGGAGCCCCGCAGGCTGCTCCTGTTCCGAGGAGAGTGTTGTAGTTTTGTCCACTGCCGTGATCAGGTGAGGTAACGTGGAGGAGGAATTCCTGTGCTTCGGCCCACATTTGTCCAAGTCACCGGAGCTTGGGGTCTGAGGGAAGCAAGAAAGAGGGAGCCATGCAGTGTGGGGAGCCCCCCAAGCCACTCTGACTTCAAGGATGGGAACTGGCAGGAGCCGTGTCCTGCTGCCCTTGCCCTGGCTGTGGGGTCTGCAGTCACAATCTGGGCTTCGCCACCACCTGCCCAGGCTGCCCTTTATGGTCCCTCAGACCATAAAGGTGGACTGCAGAAGCCACGGCTGCTCTCAGGCCACAGCGGCCCTGGGCCTGATCCCACACTGAGACCCAAGCTGGGGGTGGGGGAAGGCCTGCAGCTGCCTCCTGGCAAGCCCCTGGGGATCCCCTCACCTGCTCACCTGTGCAGGGGGCAGACTGCCCTGGGGCAGCCTAGTTGCTGGACTCTGAGTCGCTGAGGCCGCAGGAAACAAGGCAGAGGCTCCCAGAATGTAGCCAGTGTGGCCCTGGGGCAGCGGCTGCTGAAGGAGCTGCAGGATGTGGCTGAGCTCTGAAGACATGTGGGACTCCAGCCTGCCAGACAGAGCCCCACCGTCAGGGTCAGGGTCGGGGTTGGCGGGAGCAGTTCAGTTCCTGAGGGCAGCTCTCAGTTTTTTGCCTTCATGCTGTTCCTGCTGGATGGAAGCCTGGGGCCTACCTGAAGCTATTTCCCTGCGCAATCCAAATTGCAGCCCCTGTCCAAAGTCCCCTTAGCACATCCCTAACTCTGATAACCGTGACCAGGCATCGTGCACACATCATTCAGTCCTCATAACGAAGCTTTGACATGGGTATTCTGACAATCCCCATTCCACGAAAGGGCAAACTGAGGCTCAGAGTGGTTAAGTAACTTGCCCACGCTCTTGCTGGTAAGGTGCAGACCCAGAACTTGAACGCAGGACTGTACTGCCCCTAAGCCCTCACTCTACCACCACAGCTCTGCCATCCACAGGTCACACCCCCTTCCCAAGGGCCCATGGAATTTGTTTCTGCACAAGGTTATGCCCCTCCCCCAAGAAGGCTTCCTTGACACATTCTGGGGTTTGCTGGGACAAGCCATCCAAGGAATTATGCTTAGTGACAGGGATGGAGAAGCCTGCAGCTAAATGAGGTCGGCCATTCCAAAACTCACAGGACATCCAGTAATGTCCCTGAGCCACCAGGAGGGGGCACTCGTGCCTAGCCCGCCACTGGGCCTGCCCTCTGCAGCGCCTGTCCCCAGCCTGGGAGGAGGGCACTCACCTGTTCATCTGGGCCTGCAGCTGCTCTAGCCTGGAGCCTAGCTCCCGGGGCCAGCAGTCTGGGTCTCCCTGAGGGTTTGCGGGGCTGTGCCTTGGCCTTGGGGGCACTTGCTGCAACAACTCAGGCCAGAGGCCAGATGCGTCTGAGATGCTCAGGGAAGGGGTTGTGCCTGCAGGAGGGAAAGGAAAGCGTGAACTTTGGTCCAGGTGGTTCCACAGGCCCGAGCCCATGCCCCTCCCCCTACCTGCTGTGGGAACATGGGGCAGGAGGAGGGACTCTCCTTACCTGGGTGCCCTGGAGTACAAGGTCCTGCCCCCAGAGTGGTCTGGCTTCTAGGACCCAGAAGGCTGTAGCCCTGAGACTGGGGCTGGGGCCCCAGCCTGTGGGGGCTGGCTGGGTGGGGACATCCAGCCCTGGCTTCACTGTCCAGGGAGCTGCAGCCCAGAGGGTCCCCTGGTGCCTTGATGTGGAACCCCAGGGGGCTGGTCGGTATCCACCCCTGGGGGCAGCCCTCAGGCTCTGAGGGCACAGTGGGAGGAAGGGGGCAAGGCCCTCTAGCATGGAGCCTAGGGAGGGAGCTCCTTTCCACTCAACCAGGGGCTGGGGAGGCCTCTCCCAGGGGAAGCAGGATGGAAGGACCTGAGAGGGGCCAGGAGGCTGGCCAGGGCTTTGGGCTGGGGTGGGGCAGACACTGTGGGGGGCTGGCTTTGCTCACCTGACTGGTCGTCACTGAGGAAGAAGCTTTGGTGGTGCTGGCTGCCTGGAGCCTGTTGGGGTGATGACTGGAGACCTCCGCCTGCCTTGTGGGGAACAAGAGCATCAAGTAACAGGGACCAAAGCTGGGACAAGGACTCTTTGTTCTCCCCTGTCCCCCTGTCGCCGCCCCCCCCGCCCCGGCCGCGGCCCTTGTGACAACCAGGTGAGAAAGTGGTAGCAGGTGGCTGGACTCTCCCATGATGCTCTGGGCAGCTTCTTGCAGGCTCTCTCCTGCGTGGGTGGGCAGGAGATGAACAGGGGCTTGGAGATATGCAGACCCCCCAGAGTCTTGGGAGAGGCTGCCTTGAGCAGCAATATTTGGGGGGGGGGGCAGAGGAGCTGTTCTTTCTGTCCTCCCTTTCTTGAATGTCCCGGTGTTCCCTCCCTCAGCATGGACCAATGGGGAGTTTCCTCTGAGGAGACTGGATCTGGAACCCCCCATCCATTTAGGAGGTGCCCTCAGCAGTGCCCTTGGTGGCTCACCCTCTTGGCACCATGAGACTTGGGGGCACCTGGGGGCTGCAGATGCCCCAGGCCATGGAGACCACATCTCTCTTGCCCTGGTGTCCAGCCACTGAGCACTCAGGCCACCTGATGGCTCCTAGCAGCTGGGCCCCCCAGGACAGAAGCCTTACAAGATGTCTTTTGGACAGATGAGGTGGGAGGAGAAGAGATTGGGGGAGAGGGAGAATGGCTGAGGGCACAGGGTGGGGAGGGCTGTCCATAGCAAGGAAACCTGCCTCAGCACCACCTTCCAGAAGCTGGGGGTGAGGCCTGGGCCAGCAGAGCCTCTCCTTCTGAGGCTGGGGGAGGCTTACAGTATGGGGGGGGTCTCAGGGCCAGGGTCTCAGCCACTGTTGCACCTGCCAGGCATCTGCCCCCTCCTTCCCACTGGCTGATTCCAGACCCCTTCCTCCATGCAGCCCCTTCTGGGTGCTTCCAGTCTGTCCTGGCCATCCCACTCCTTGGCAACACTGGGCTCCACAGAAATTTGGTCTCCCCGCATACCCTCCTGACTTCCTTGGGTATTTAACAGTGTGGCTCTTTATTTTTCCTGAGTTGATATAATCTCCTCCACTGAGTGATAAGCTTGAGAAGAGAGACACCTCTATCACTTCTTTACACTTCTGGGACCTGGCTCCGTGAGCCCCTGGACAGCAGACACCCTCCCTTTCAGCTTGGTAGGACATGGTGGGAAAAGCCTGGGCTATGGATCTGCACAAACTTGAGTCCACATTTTCACTCTGCCATTGACTGTACAGCTTACTGTATGCCTGTATGGCTTTGTTCAATTTACCCTCTCTGACTCTCAGTTTTCTCATCTGGAAAATGGCGATAATAACACCATTTGCAAGGAGAAGACTAAATGAGATAACGTAAAAGAAACCCAGCTCTTAGCACGTAGTTGTTGCTTAATAAATGGTAGCTATCATCATATTTAGCATTATGTTGGTCATGGTAGGCACAGAAGAAATTATGGCAAAGGGTGGAAGATGGGGTTGAAAGGAAGGGAGGTAGTCAGACGGGTCCCCTCAGGCCAGGCAGGCCAAGCTCTCAGCAGCTGGCCAACAGCCACCGCCCACCCTGGCCCACCTAGCACAGACTCACGTCCCGCAGGTTGAAGGTGACTTCCAGCTTACTCCAGAAGCTGTCTGCGAAGGCGGGGTACATGTCCAGCACCTCCAGCAGGTCTGCCCGCTGGATCTTGTGCAGGTCACAGTAGGTCAGGGCCCGCACGTCTGCACTGGACTTGCCCGGCCGGGCATGGAGGCTAACGGGCTCCCCAAAGATGTCGTTCTTTCCTGCCAGCCAGAGGGGCAGGGGTCTCTCCAGGGTCTGGATCCAAGCTCTCTTCTGAGGAGCCTCCATGAGGGCCCCTTGATCACGACTTCCCTGCCACCTCAGGGATCCTGCCAGGCTGGGGCCTGGTGCTCAGGATCAAGCTCTGGGGACATGGCTGGATGTGCTGGCCGGGGTGGGGTGGAGTGGGAAGCCTGTCCCTCCCTTGTCCTCTGAGCTCTGCAGAGACCCCCCTCTCCCTCCCAGCATGTGGGTCCTCCCGCTGTCTCCAGGCCCCACAGGACCACCCTCTATCAGAATCCTGCCTCCTATTTTCCACATGCTTTGGCACTACCCCTACCTCCCCAACCCCCTGCCAGGGGACAGTGGGCAGTAAGGGACACTAAAGGCTCCCTTCTCCAACCTCTTCCTCTCTCCTCAGCCTGCCGCGGGGCCGTGAGTAAGAGTGCAGGGAACCCAGGGCCAGGAGCACCCAGCTCCCCCAGGGGAGGGCCTGAGATTTGTCTCTTTGTGTTCCCACTCCCCATTGTGGGGCCAGGGACCAGCATGGCCCTGGCACAGGAAGCCTGGGGAAGTCACTTCCCCTCTCTGGACCCCAGTGTCGTCATCTCTAAAATGAGTGTAACCGTATCTGCCTTGCCTGTCCCACTGGGCTGTCCAGAGGAACAGACGTGATGCTTGAGGAAGTGCCTCGGATAGCAAGAGGCACCAGACAGGTCGATGCAAGGCATTGGGAGGGATGGATGTCACAGAGGAACATGGGCTGGGTACTCGGGGCACGTGGCAAGGGTATTGGGCCCTCCTGGTGCCAGGCACTGTGCTGGCCACAGGATGTGAACATAAATAAGATGCTGTCCCACCCACAAGGAGCCCCCGAAATCCCTGCAAGACAGACATATAAGCAACAAACTAGTTTACAGAATGATCTACAGAGCCTTAGAATAGGGGAAAAACAAGAGCTATGGGGCCATGGAGGAGGGAGCGGCTCATTCCATCTGAGGGGAGTTGCGGGCAGGGAGGAGGGGGGCTTACAGAGGAAGTGAAGTGGGGGCTGGGTGGTGAGAGTTGAGGAGGACCGGGCCTCCAGGAAAAAGGCAATCTGGACAGAAGAAACAGCGTGTGGTCAGTGCTGCACGGTCAGGGCTGGGGGGGCAGGGAGCCCAGGGCCGGGGTGCCAGGGACCACGATTGTTTTGACATCCCCTCCCCACAGGAAAGTCCAGCCCCCTCAGCCTGACGATACCGCACAAGGGGTGCTAATGGTTTGCACAAGGAATAATATCCCCCAAGAGAACAGGATCAAAGGTCATTCACAGAGGAGGGGACTGAGGCCTAGAGAGGGAAGGAACTCGCCAGGGTCACATACAAAACCCAGAAGCTTGAAAACTGGACACATTATAAAGTGATGGATTTCTAGTAGATGAAGGATGATGATCTAATGCCCAGTTCCACTCAGGACAAAATGAGAGGATTTCATGTCTCTAACTGAAAATTAAATTGGACTGGCTTCTTAATTATTAATAATAACTATTATCCTTTTCACATGGATGGTACTTCTAAGGTGGGCTGGGAATGAGGGAAGGTCTCATAGAGGAGCCCGTGCTTGAGCTCAGCCTTGAAGGATGACCGGGGTGTGCCAGGCAGGCGTGCAAAGAAGGTGCTCCAAGCAGAGTGGCAGCACGTGGAAAGGCACAGAAGTATGACAGAGACGGGCAGGTTTAGAGAACTATAAGTAGTTTGTATGGCTGGAGCACAAAGGACCAGGGGGGAGGGTGGCAGGACTTAGGATGGGCCAGACTGGGGAGGACTGTGCATGCCACGCAGAGGGGCTTACATTTGTCTCGTGGGTCACGAGGAACCATGGAGGGATTATGAGAAGAGGAGTATGCACAGATGTGAATTTCAGGTCACTGGCAGAAGGTGGAAGATGGAGTATGGGGGTAGATCAGATACAGGGACATGGAAAAGGAGCTCCTGACACCTGCCCAGGAAGGACACAATGAGGGCTGGACCAAGGCAGAGACAGAGACAGGTGTGGGACAGAGGTATTAACGAGGGGAACAGGCAGGGCTCTGTGGCTGCCTGGATGGTGGTAGGAGGACAGGAAGGGAGAAGGATGTGCCCTTGGTTGACTCCCAGGTCTCTGGCCCAGGCAATGGATGGTTCACAGTGATGGGGATGCCAAAGGAGCTGCTTTTGAGGGAAGATGATGATGTCAGATTGAGATATGTTGTTTGCTCTGCCTATGGAATATAAGGGTGGCCATGCCTGGTAAGGAATAGAATATTCTGGTCTAAGGAGAGATTGGGGCCGGCACAGAGCTCTGGGGGTCCTTGTGGAGTACATGAGGCGGACATCGTGGGAGCAAGGAGCTGGCCCAGGTGAGGGTATAGGGCGAGGAGAAGAGAGTAGAGCACCACATTTGGTGAACACCAGCTGAGGGCAGGCCAGAGGGGAGGATCAAGGGGAGCCCAAGAAGGCCTGTCCAAAGGGGTTGGAGGAAAGCCTGGCCATGGAGACCAAGGGAGGGCGAGGCTGACGTCCTGGTCAGGAACTTGGGGTGGGCTGAAGTCAGGGGAAGGCAAGGAAGGTGAGAATCATCTCAGAGAGGTGAAGTGACCAGGTCACATGGCTGGTAAGTGGCAGAGGCTGCCTGTGCCCCAAATCTGTTCCCTGTCCAGTGCTCACATCCTTTCTCCAAAGTGTCCAGCTGGCCCTGCAGCTGCACTAATGAGACTGGGGATCCCCCTCTGCCCAAGACAAACCCCTGCCCTCTCACCCTGAGCTCCCCAAGAGTGGAAGAAGGTAGGAGCCTGCCTGAACTTCTGAGTCAGACACTAGCCCAGGGAATCCCTGCTGGGCCACTTACCAGCATGACCTCTCTGGGCCTCAACTTCCCTATCAGGAAAATGGGACCTATGGCCGAGGTTTGTTCTGAGGATTCAGTGAGCTGGGTATAAAGCTCTCCGTGGCACGTGCTCGGCACATGGCAGGTCGGTAAAAGGTGCCACCATCATCATTAGGAACGGAGTGATCCAGGCAGGACATCTCCAGTCCCACCACACCCACCCACACCGGCCTGGCCCTCCCAGCCCACCCACCTAGGATGGCCACAACCACGTCGTCGCGCAGGATCTCGATGGAGCCGCGGGAGATGAAGTAGAGCGTGGAGAGCACGTCGCCGAGGTGCACCAGCGTGTCCCCGGGGGGCGCGTGCGTCGTCTTGAACTTGACCGCGAGCGCGCGCAGGCAGCCCTTGCTGGCGCCGCGGAAGGCCGGGCAGTGCTGCAGCAGCGCGCGGTGCAGGTGCAGGCAGATGTCGGCCTGCAGGCACTCGGGGAAGCCCTTCAGCACCTGCGAGGCGGGCGGCCGCGTCCAGCGGGGCACGGCCGGGGTGGGGCTGGGGAAGCGGATGGAGAGGGCTCTGGGGGCGCCCTGAGCCCCCGGGATCTTGGCTTCCCCCGGGGCATTAGCCAGAGCTGGGACTTGAAAGCTGGGTCACCCACCCCACCCCGGGCAGGGCGGCGGGGGCTCACCGCGTTCATGTCGATGCCGTTGGTGTAAGACCAGGCGTGCTGGAAGTATTCTTCGAGGCGCTGCCGCAGCGGGTTGGGGATCTGGTGGAAGCGGATGAATTCCTTGACACGCAGCATCTGCGTGTGGTAGCGCGCGGTGCCCGAGTACAGGCGCTGGATGATGGCGGATACGTTGCCGAAGATGCTGGCGTACATGAGGGCTGGGGCCGGGGAGCAAGGGTGCGGGGAGTGAGCTCCTCCGCAGCCCCACCAGGCCTGCTCCAGGCCTCCCTCTCCCCGGGAGGCCCGTGGTCAGGGACCCTTCTGTCTGGGGCAAAGTCAGAAGTGGCCAGGGCAGCGCCAAGGCATACGGGGGACAAAGGCCCCTGGGCTTCCTGCCCTCCTCCCTCTGCTCTGTGCCTCTTGGCATCCTCCTGGGCACAGAGGCCAAACTCCTGAGAAGAAAGAACTAGGGCAATGGATTTTTTTTAGTTCAGATTTGTTTTCTCCTTCAAGTTGTGAAAATATAATAAAGAGAAAACTCTTGGTCTCTTGTTTTCACCCATTTTTTCCTGTTGTTTTTGTTTTTCTGGGCTTTCACATCTCTAAATACCCTGAACGTGACAATTTAATCGATGTGTAAAATCCACACTGCCTCTTGTGTTCCTGGAACCGTTGTCTTGGGAGGCAGGCAGCAAGTGCAGGGCCTGAGAGCACACACAGCCTGGGAGCCGGCCCCCTGGCCTGGAATTGGGTCTCTGTGTGTAATCTCTGGCAAGTCAGGACCTTCGGTTTCTTAGTCTGTAAACTGGGCTCATATTATGGCCCTCACGGGGTAGTGACTGGAACAAAATATGGGCCTTTGATAAGCACTTAGAAAAGTGCCTGGCAGGGCAGGCTTCATGGGCGTGTGACCTGTGCTAAGAAGGGCCCGGCGCTTGGTTTAACGCTCTGCTGTCATCGTCTTGAAATTCTTTTTTTTAATTTTTTAATTTTTGATTTTTGGTTAGGAAGATTAGCCCTGAGCTAACCTCTATTGCCAATCCTCCTCTTTTTGCTGAGGAAGATTGGCCCTGAGCTAACATCTACGCCCATTTTCCTCTATTTTATGTAGGACTCCTGCCACGGTATGGCTTGATAAGCAGGGCGTAGGTCTGTGCCTGGGATCTGGACCTGCCGACCCCAGGCCGCTGCCAAGGTAGAGTGCGCAAACTTAACCACTAGCTGGTTAAGTTCAAGACAGGGCTGGCCCCGTCTTGAAATTCTTAATACGTTTTTAACAAAAGGCTCCACATTTTCATTTTGCACTGGGCCGTACAAATGATATAGCTGTAGCCTGGCACATAGCAAGGGCTGTATACGTGTTAAATTCTGTGTATAGTTGGTGTACACATGCAAAATTTCCTTGTGCTGTGCGCATAGGATCTGCCTATCACACACATTGTTACTGTGTTATATCTCATTACAAAAGTAAAACTCGAATTCCCTGGGTGAGGCCCGGGGCATGGGGTGGCACTCACAGCCGATGAGCATGACGCAGATAGAGAAGACCTTCTCAGAGTTGGTATTGGGTGAGACGTTGCCAAAGCCCACGCTGGTGAGGCTGCTGAAGGTGAAGTAGAGGGCCGTGACATACTTGTCCTGCACCGAGGGGCCCGAGGCTGGGTCACTGCCATTGTAGCGCTTGCCGAGCTGCACGCCCAGGCTGTCCAGCCAGCCAATCTTGGGATCCAGGTAGGGCCGCTCCACGTTGCCGATGGCGTACCAGATGCAGGCCAGCCAGTGCGCGATGAGCGCAAACGTGCACATGAGCAGGAAGAGCACGGCCGCCCCGTACTCAGAATAGCGGTCCAGCTTCCGCGCCACGCGCACCAGCCGCAGCAGCCGCGCCGTCTTCAGCAGCCCGATCAGGGTCGTGGTCTGGAGGGGCAAGGAGGAGGCCACAGGGCTGGGGGTCAGCCCTTGAAAGGCTGCTCTCAGAACCACATTTCTTCACTTCTGCATATGGTCACACTGTCATTCAACAGACACTTATGGAGAACCTGTTCTGGGCCAGGCTCCCGGCAGCGGGGCGCAATGCGGGACCTTAAGGAGCTCTCAGCCTAAAGTTCAAAACAGTGTTGTGGTTGTTAGCATAGAAGTCCAGGGGGAGCACGGAGGAAGGGGAGGTCAAGTCTGCAGGGGCAGGGCAGAGGAGGCTTCATAGAGGAGGTGACACATGAGCTGAGTCTTGAGAAACAAGGCAGGGTCTCCAGGCAGACAGGAGGGAGAGGGAGAGGGAGAAGGAAACCACATGTGGTGCTGCAGCCTGGAGCACAGAGACGAAGATGGTGGAGAAGTGAGAAATGAGCCTGAAAGGCGGGCAGGGGCTTCTCCTGTGGGCCTCAGGGTCCATAAAGAGCTTGGCTTTTATTCCAAGCCATTGGGGAGCCACTGAAGGTTCTGAGGACAGGGTCAGATAAGTGACAGGGTTAGATAAGTGATTCTGTGTGTGTGTGTGTGGGTGTGTCGGGGAGGCTGGCAGGTGTACGGCTGGGGCAGAGCTGGGTAAGAAGGCCACTCAGTGTCCAGGCAGGGGCAGTAGGGTGGGGAGGAGGCGAGAGGACTTGGGGATAGATTTGCTGGGAGTGGGTGGGCATGGGAGCAGGGAGTCACGATGGACATTCCCTGCTGGACAGGCTGTGGTGACTGGGGGTGACGGGAACACAGAAGGCAGAGCTGACTTGAGTGGAAAGCTGATCCCAAGGGAGTGGAGCAAAAGGACATAGTGGGGCTAGAAGCTCTGAGAAGAGCATGAAAGTGCCCTCATGTCAGCCATGGGAAGCAGAGAGGGCAGAGTGAGGGGCTCGGGGTGAGAAGCGGACAGGCTACACTGAGGGAGCAGCTTGTAGATTCCGTTTCTAAGTTCAGGGTAAGTGTGGTTTAGAAGTCAGCATGAGGGGCTGAGACTACAGGAATGCCCGTCCCAGAAGAGGCAGAATTCTGGAGCACAGGGAGGGCACCCAGGCCTGGGGCACGGCCTCGGCTGCTCCTTCTCCAGGGCTGGGAGATGACAGATATCTGAGGTCTCCTTTCCACCTCTACTTGCTTTGGCAAAGGGCTGTGGGGCACAAGGGATGGCCACAGCAGCTGGCCTGAATGGGGTTTGCTCACCTCATCAGAGCCTGTGTGGAAGATGAGCAAGTCGAAGGGGATGGCGGCCACCATGTCAATGAGGAACCAGCCTTTGAAGTAGTGGACAGCGATGCGGCGGGGGTGGCTGACCACCTCGTCGTTGGTGTTGACATAGGTGGTGCGGAAGTTGATGACAATGTCCACAACAAACATGATGTCCACGATGAGGTCCACCACAGTGAGAGGACTGCAGGTGTAGCCACAGTCCCCACGCTGAGACTCGTCTTGGTCACTGAGCAGGAAGGCGGCCGAGTAGGGAGTGAAGACAGCTGTGTAGATGACCAGCAGCAGGATGAGCCAGTCCCACACGGCCTTGAAGGGGCTGTAGTGCAGGAGGGTCCCACGGTGGATGCGTGGTGCCTGCAGCTTGTACTCTGGCAGCACGTCTGCACCCAGGGACAGGACCTGGGGGTGGGGGCCATGGGGTGATCAGCAGGGAGGCCGTCACAGGTGAGATGGGTCTGGGTGGGGTGAGGTCATAGGGGTGAAGCTTGGGAAGGGAGCTGTGGGAAAGGTGGGTGACAAGGGATGTGGAGGGCAGAGGGCAGGAGGCAAAGATGGGGCATGTGTGAGGAGGCAAGTTCATAAGGGGACAGGAGTATTGGGAGGAAGTGCAGAGGTAAGGTGGGGTACAGCTCTGTCCACAGTGATCCCAGGTTTGAAGCTCACAAATTCCCTCTGAAACAGGCCGGCCTTGAGTAGGTGGAGACAGGGCTGAGGGAGGGGAGAGAGGAGGACAGAGGAAGGCCAGGCTCAGGGTCATTGTGGGCATGTTCCAGAGAAGAGCCCAGATTGAATGGGTGGCTGGGGGGCTGGTCAATCCTCTCTGGTGGGTTTGGGAGGTTCCCAGTAGTCAGGATTCCTGATAGGAACAGGTTACCCCCAGAATAGCCTCTTGATTCCTGAGGCCCTGTGGAGCCTAGACCAGTGAGGGCCCTCCTGGGGCCAACTCTCCGAGCCTTCCATGGAAAAAGTCAAATTTGAGAGTGTGTAGCTGATCTGGGCCCTCGACAGGTCCTGGGCACCAGGGAGCCCTGACTACTTCGCACATGTCCAAGAGGGTTTTGATCACTACATTCAGCTGAACCCCCTCTGCTCTGCCCCTCCCACCCCCTCAACTTGGAGACTACGGCCAACATAGGATCACCGGGACCCAGCCCAACATGTCCAGGCTCTGCCCAGCTGCCCAACACAAGAGACAGCTGGGGCATCAAGAAGGTCATGCGTTTTGAAGCCAGACCTCCCAGGTTGATCCCAGGTCTGACATTGCTATATGTCTGTCTCAGGGCAAGTCTTGTAACCTCTGAGCCTTAGTTCCCTGGTTGGCAGAATGGGATCATGAAGGACATCAAACTCCATGGGGTTGTTGTGATTAATTGAGATGGTGCATCTTGGTGGCACGTGCTGCCCTATGTGATGATTTCTCCTCCCCACTCATCCTGTCAGACACTGCCCCAACAAGGATGGCACCTGAGGGGTGTCCCATTGACCTTACCACCGCCAGCAGACAGGGCCCGGCAGATGGTCCTGGTTTAAGAAAATCAGCAATGTAAGGTTCTAATCTTGCAAACCAGATCCATTAACAGATGGGGTCACAATAAGGAAGATCCAAAAAGGACTGGTTTCATAGTGTCCCTGATCTACCACCCAAACCCCTAAGAGGGACCAAAATGTCCCCACCCTGCAGTGACCTCTTGCTCAGCCTTCAGACCTCGGTCCCTATTTTGCCTCCCCAGGAAGCCTCCTCTGACCCTGCACAGACTTGTGGACCCTCTTTTTGGATTTTCTCCCTGCCCCTCGTAAACACCTCTGACCACAGGGTTATTCTCCACTGAACTCTAGGCTGCAGCTCCTTCGTCCAGTAGGCCCATCTTGTATGCCCAGCACTTAGTCTGTATGGGGACCAAATGAGCACTGAAAGCTGGAGCCGTCACAGCCACTCCCTTCCTTCCTGGGCTGCTCAAGACCAGCCAAGACAAAACAGCAAAGCTTGGGGAGCAGGAATGAGGCAGCAGGAATTTGAGAGGGTGAGATGAAAGTGTCCACTTCCTCAGGGCCCCAGACAGTGGTACCATCTCCCCCACCACACAGACCTCCATAGTCTCCCACCGCCTCCAAAGACAACATGAGGGCCCTTCCCTGGCAAAGCCAACCCTTCCCAGTGTCACCCGGAGCTGCAGGGCCCTCAGGATGTAGGAACTCAGGTACAGGATCAGAGCCCTCCAGGCCCTTTAAGTTCTGGTTGAGGCCAGTGTGACTTCCCTGCTCTGGGCCCATGCTGGCCCCATCCGTGAGCCCTGTCAGGCACCTCTGCCACCTTAGGGCCCACATGGGGTGGGCTAGTAAAGCCAAGAGAGGCTGGAATGCAGGACAGGAGCAGGCAGGTTGGGTGGGGGCAGTGACCACGGGCCCCACCAGGCCTGTCAGTCTTCATGGGCAACTCTCCAGTCCAACACCCCCGTCACCACTGCCGCCAAACTGAGAGCCCTGGGGTGAGCAGCTAGCTGGGCTTCCCAGGGTCAGGCCATCGGGCCACCTGCCTGACCTCCGAGGACCCAGCCCTGCAGTCTTGGGTCCTTCCTTCCCCAGGGTTCTTGTGCTCCTCATGGTGCTGAGTCACAGGGAGTTTCTACCCTACCCAGTCCAGCACAGACTGTGCTTCAGGTGAAAAAGGGGCAGGGAGGAGAAAGAGCTGCTCCCCATCCCCCATGAAGGCAAACCCCAGGGGAAGCCGGGAGTGGGCCCACTCCCATGCCCTGCACCCCCTTGCTCAGCCCTGGCCTAGGCCCCCCTTGATGCCTCCTGGGACTGGCACTACTCAATGTCAAATGCGTCCTCAGAGACCAGGCAGTCCAACTCTCTCCTCCAGACCAGAACCCTGGGGCCTAGAAAGGAGATAATGTTCCTTGCCCTCAGTCACACAGTGAGTTAGCAGCAGGGCTCTTTGCATTTCCCTCTGGAGTGGTCAGGCGGGGACTGGGGCATCAGGCCCCATGAGAAGGAACAGTGGACCCAGGGAGGTTTGCTTTGGGCTGGCCAAGGAGGAGCTGAGGGAGAGGGAGGCATTCAGGGCCTGATCCCTAGGAAGCTGCTCAAAGAATGCTGAAGATGTCAGCACTGCCTCCCCTCTGCCTAGAGTGCAGAGGGATCCTGTTGTGTGTCGGGGAAGGTGACTGTCACCTCAGTGGCAAGGGGCAGGAGCAGGGCTGGGGGCCTCTGGCCATTCCTCCTCTCAGTATGGCCCTGACACCTCCTCTCTCTGCTTCTCCTTCGCTGTGACTGGCAGAGCCTTGGGTAGGCCCCCCTGGTGGCCTGTGTGTTCCCCCCTCCCAGGCCTAGGAGGTGGCACTATTCACAGGCTCTGTTGACCCCAATCTCCCCTGGTCCAGGAGCTGGGCATCGGGGTGGTGGCCTCAGGGTAGGTCTTTAAGGCTAAAGAATCAGACTCAACCAGGACAGGAGGCCTGGGGCTCAGACCAGACACCAGGGGGCTGAACAAGCCAGCTCCCTCTGCTTGTCTAGGCTCCAGAGGAGCCCAGGCCCAGGGCCTGAGAGGCCCGGCACAGCCCCATCCACCCTGCCCTGCAGGCCGTACCTGGGTGACCTTCTCGGTGACATTCTGGGTCCGCTCTACCACCTTGTGGGGTGCGATGATCTCAATCTCTGTGGTGGAGCCCGAGCGGTGCTTCTCCAGGTTGAACTCCACGAAGTTGAGCGTGAACTGCGGGATCTGGCTGATGGTCCTGTACTTGACCCTGCCTGTGCCAGGCCCCTGTGCACCTGGCCTGCCATGAGAGCCCTCTGAAACCAGGGCCAGGGTCAGAGAGGCCAGGGCCAAGGGACCAGCTGCTCCACCTGGTGCCCCCACTCGCCCCCCTCTGCTATCTGCACCCCACCTCACCAGAGCCCAGGAAGCTCTGGGACAGCAGGCGCTGGGACAGGCTGCGGCTCCCTCTCTTGGCCAGGAGCTGGGCCAGGTCCTCAAAGTTGAGGATGAACATGATGACAGCCCCGTCCTCATTCTTCACGGGCACCACGTCCACCAGGCAGCGGAAGCTGGAGGCTGCAAACACCATTGGGGGGTCACTGAAGGGGTCCTCTCCTGCAGGAACCTGGCCAGGGGAAGCTAGGGAGTGGGCTGGGTTAAGGTCAAGTTAAGGGCAGCCACTAGGGTGAGAAGGCCTGGACAGTGACCAGAGTTATTGCACAGAGGGTTGGTGACACTGCCCAGCAAGTGCCCCACCCACAGGGCAGAGGTGGGGAGAGCAGCTAAGCTGCTCATGAGGAGATAATGTAGCATTGGGCCCAAGTCCACACTCGGCCCTCAGCTCAGGGCTTAACCTTGAGGTTTGCTCCTGCTGTAATTAAAGCCCAGCAGATGGGGGTGGATTAAGTGGGGAGGTGAGGTCAGGCATTCTACCCCCATGTAGCTCTGACTAGCCCTGGGTTCAGCTGCCATATTCCCATCCCACAAAGATGCCCTGCTTCCTTGACGCTGGAAGGAACTCGTTGTTGAGAACACACGAAGCGCTGGGCATTAAGCCAGTGGCACATTAGGCCTTGAGCTCCGTGGTGGAGCCCAGTGGATCCTTGTGGGGAGGCATAGACCCCTGTTCTGCCAATGAGAGCCAGGGGTTCTGAGAAACTGACTTCCTGGGGCTGGGAGGGGACACGGAGCGGGAATCCTTGGGTTCTCAGTATACAATGGCTTGGAGAGGACAAGGGGCTTGTCCAGGATGAGGATGCTGGAGTGAAGGCCAATCTGCTGTTCCAGGCCTGGAAGGGGCGCGAGGTCCCAAGGCAGAGGTGCTGGGACTGGGAAGGAGAGGGAGAGAGACGGCAGTGTGGGGGCAGGACAGGCCCCTCCTGCCACTCTACCCACCCTCTTGGGTAGCCCAGACCTAGCCCTTGGCCCCACTGTTCCTCTCTCTCTTTCTCTCTCTGGGCTCCAGGGTCTTGCCCGCCCTCCCATAGGTGGGTAGAACAAAACAAGCTAAATCTGCACATCCCCCCAGAGCCCAGCCTATCAGTGGGTGTTAGGCCCAAAAAGCAGGATCCTAAGAGGGAGGGCCTTAGGTAAACACGCAAATCAGAAGCAGCGCTGCCCTCCCTAAGGGCAGGTTTGTGTCTGTCTCATTTGTCTGTCCTGGGTGTTGTTTATTGACTGATTGAAAGAAAGAATGTGTGCATAGGGCCGGCCCCGTGGCTTGGCGGTTGAGTGTGCACGCTCCACTACTGGCGGCCTGGGTTCGGATCCCGGGCGCGCACCGACTCACCGCTTCTCCGGCCATGCTGGGGCCGCGTCCCACATACAGCAGCTGGAGGGATGTGCAGCTATGACATGCAACTATCTACTGGGGCTTCGGGGGGGGGGGGGATAAATAAATAAAATCTTTAAAAAAAAAAAAAAAGAAAGAAAGAATGTGTGCATAAATGTGAGAGGGTGGGAGGCTGGCTGGCAGGGGTATTGCTACTCTTGCCCTGACTCTCCATTCTGTGCTCACTTCTCTTGGCACCTCCTCACACCATCAGCACAGGGGTGCAGCTGAGCCGCCCCCATCCTCCCTCCCAATTTCCTCCCTGCGAGCAGGAATCTCCTGGATCAGATTCCCGGACTCCCAGGCACCAGGCAGCCATCTGCCAGCTGCTGCATTGGGCCCCGGGGGAGACATCCACACCAAGGCGAGGCCACCCACCTGCTTCTGTGACCCATTCCTGGGCTCACAGTGCTGTAGGCCTGCCTCCCAGGGCAGAGCCTGGCACTCTTGTCAGCCTGGGGCATGGTGAGGATTGGACACTGGGACCTAGCAGGGAAGCTTCCTTGGCTAGAGGCCTGAGACACTGTCCCCAAGGCCATCTTCTCACTCTCTCTGCAGAGATCTGGCCTGGCAGGGGGCAAGGAAAGGGCAGAGCTGGGCAAAGGGGCAGGGCCCCCAGGCTCCTGATGTTGCTGGGAGCTGCCAAGACCCAGTCTTTGAGCGGCTGTACCCACCCACTGATGCTGTCTTTGGAAAACTGAGGCTGGGAACGGACTGAAGACCAGCCCACCATAGCAGTGAGGGCTGGAGGGGGGCCATGCGTGGCATCCCATGCCCGACCTTCATGCTTGCTGCCTGTAGGGTGGGTAGAGACGGGAGACTATGAGGGTTTGGACAAGTTCAGAGCGTTCTTTTCCCCCATCCCTAGGCTGTCCTTGCTCACGAGTAACTGTGTCTGGGGGATCGGAAGTGGGTGGTGTGTCACCGAGGTTGTGCCCAGGACAGGTGGTGTTCCTGTGACCTTGCCCTGTCCCTGGAGGGGGAGCCACAATCTCTGCCTTGCTCTCCCTTCCAAGGGCTCTTCTCAGTGCCCATCTCTTTGACCAAGGGCAGCAGGTTTCTCTGCCCCTGGGACACCACACTTCTCTCTGCTGGTCTCTGCCTCTGGATGTGCTCCTTCCTTCAGCTTCTCATCATTCCCACCCCCCACCCTGGACCCTCACCCCTCCTGTGCAAGCCTCCCTATCATCTATTACCCCCATCTCTTTATGCACACCCCATCGGGCATTGTGGGGAGCCCTCGGGGAGGAGCCGGTGCTACGAAAAGCTGCCACGAAGAGGTGGCTGCTCCATACCGCCTCCTGGCTTGGTGTTTCTGGAATTCATGGGTGAGTATGTGGAAAACACCGGGGCCTCTGACCTCAGGCCTTGCCCTATCCTCCTTATCTAGAGCTAAGGACTGGAGGAGCCCCAGGTTTCCTCTAGTCTGGCTTGAGGATTAGGGGACTCTCTGGTTTGGGGTCGTCAGAGAGGAGGACCTGGCAAAGTCAGGTAGGGCTGGGCCTCTCTGGGAGGTCCCCAGTCGGGGTAGGGGTAGGGTGCGGGAGATCTGAGTGTTCTCCATGCCCCCCACCCCAGACTCTCATTGGTTCTAGTCTTGTGGCCATCCCCATTCCTCCTATCTCTTAGGTTCTTACTTCTAGTAAAGGCAGATGGAGGAAGAGCCAGTTTCTCAGGGGTCTCTGAGCCCTGACTCATGGGGTAATTTTTATCAAGTGCCCTGGCCTCTTTGAGCCCAACTTTACATAGCTGCACAATGTGGAGATATAGGGACACAGCCTTCCACTTTGACTTGGAGAACTATCAGTAGATTATCCCTTTAGAGGAAAAGAGGATTATAAATCAGCTCGAGTTCTGTTCAGAACCCCTTCCCACCTCCCTGGAGTCAGCAAGAGGAGGTATTGACCTGAGGAGGGAAGACATTAGGATGCCTCTCAGCAGGACTATAAGACACATGTGAATATGATAAAAAACAATAATGTGGTCAGAGTGGACCACAAGGTGAACTAAGTTATCTGAGTACCACATCCTTCCCTTAAGGTAATGCAGGCCAGGAAGCTCCCTTTTCAGGCCAATTTCAGGCAGGTCCAGGTGGTCAAAGACTTGGACTATATGACAGGGAAGGGCTTAGGGTGGGGGTGGGGGTAGACTAGAATTTATGGGGCACCAGGTATGTGGATAATTTTCCATTTTCACCCAGAGCCAGCCTCCAAGACTAGGTCCCTAGGGTCCCTTCTGATGGCTAGAGGATTCCAGCAGGGTTCTAAAGACCTGAGTCCTGGGCCGGCCCCGTGGCTTAGTGGTTAAGTGCGCGCGCTCCGATGCTGGTGGCCAGGGTTCGGATCCGGGGCACGCACCAACGCACCGCTTCTC